AAAAAAAAAAAAAAAAAAAAAAAAAAAAAATACAAAATAATCAATGGCTAAGTCGTTAACCCAACTCACCAATCTTTTGTACGCTGAAGCAGTGATAGGAGTAGTCATCGGCAACATATGGCAACGCTTGTGGCGCACCAGTGGTGGTGGTTGCATTCATTGCATTCTCAGTGGTGGTGGTTGCATTCAATGCATTCTCGGTGGTGGTGGTGGCATTATCGGCATCCACTTCCTCTGCATCCGCAACGGCTGAGCCTACTGTTGGTGGTGTGGGTACTGTGGTGGTGGTTGGCGCTGGGCCGACTGTGGATGGTGCCGGTATGGCCTCGGTAGTGGAGCCCGCTGTGGTTGTCTCAACGCTGGTGGTGGTACTCAGCTCTGTTGTTGTGCTACTCTCCGTTGATGTCTCAGTTGAGGTCGTCGTCGTCGTCGTTGTGGTTGGATCAGCGGTGGGCTCCTCTGTTGTACTGACTTTCTCGAAATATGCAGCGTCGCATGCCTCTAGTGGTGTTTCTTTTGTGACCTTGGCACAATCTTCACAAACATAACACATCAGCTGGCGATCGGCGACACTGTTGGCGTTTGAGACTTTGGCGGCGTGGCATGCTGTAAGAAGGGGAAAGTGAGGTTAAGAAATTAATTTTGGGGGAAGTAAAAATTAAATAATATATTTAAATATTGGAGAGTTGTGGCTTGAAACAGCTGATTTTTTCCATCATTATTTTTATGTTTTAATAATTTTTGGAAAGCTTTCGATGGAAACGATTGATTTTTTCTATTTTTGTGAGACTTTTCAATGTTGTTTACGTTTTTGAAAATATTGTAGGGTTTTAAATCGAAAGTAATGGAGAGTTTCGTACTAGAATTATTGGAGATTTTAACTTATGCTATGTTCTTCATGTTTTTATAAATATGGGAGAGTTTTTGATTGAAAATATTTCAACTTTTTCGTCATATTTTTGTTTTAAAAATATTTGAGGGTGTTGAATCGAGAATATTGGAGAGTTTTCTATAAAAATTTTATGAGATTTCTACTTTTTCAAATTTGTTTATGTATTTATTAATTTCGATTAAAAGTGTTGGACAGTTTTTGATAGAAAATATTGGAGACTCTGACGCTTTCTAATTGTTTATATTTTTTTAAACATTGAAGAAGTGCTTTTTTTATATGACGTGGTTTTATGTCTCGATAAATACTGGAAAGCTTCCATTGAAAGGATTGGAGAGTTTTTGATGAAAAATATTGGAGGATTTGCCTCTTTATACCTTTTTGTTTATAAATATTGGTGAGTTTATGATTGAAAGCTTTGGAGACTGCAACTATTTGAATGGTTTTATGTTTTGGAAAATATTGGTGGGCTTTAAATCGAGTTTTCTACCATAATTATTTGAGACATAAACCTTTTCTATGTTTTTTAAGTTTCAATTGAAAATATAGGAGATATAACCTTTTTCAACATCTTTACTTTTTGAAAATATTAGAGGGATTTCAATCGAAAATATTGCAGAGTTTTCGATTAAAAATATTGGGGACGTTTTCCTTTTGTTAGTTTTCTAGGTTTTAATAAATATGGAGGAGTATCCTATAAAAAATATTGGAGAGTTTTCGAACGAAAAATTGGAGATTATAACTTTCTCGCCGTTTTTATGCTTATAAAATTATTGAAAACTTTCGCTAGAAGCAGCTATTTTTTTCAACGTCTTTTTATGATTTTAAAAATATTACAACCTTTTGTTTTTGAAAAAAAATAATTTTCTCCATATTTTGGTTATATTTTTATAAATATTGGAGACTTTTCCATTGAAAAAATTATTTTCTTCCCCATCATTTTTGTGTTCGACCAGTCTTGTTTAGCCTCAAAGATGATAAGATTCTTGCTAATGACGCGTCGAACCATAGCTTTAAATTCTTTTAAATGCGCTTCAATTTATTTATGAATTTTCAGGGCTTTTGTTTTAACAGCCCATAATCTTGTGGCATAAAAAGTAGTTAATTACTGTCAATGGAGTTCAGGTTGTTTGCTTTTCAATAGATATTGGAGGCTCAGCAGACTAAATAGTATAACAAAGCTATCATGGACTCAATGATAAGAACTTTAAGGCTGTGGTGAGCTACGCAGTTGTCTTTTAAAAATATTATTAGAGATTTGTAAAAAAAAGAAAATTATGACAGCTAGTGTTAGTTTGTTGCCTGAAGTACACACATACATGGATATGTGTGTACATTTGGACATTAGGATGGTCCAAAAATGCATGTAGAAAAGTAAAGTCGGAATTTTTATGCTCTCACCCCCTAGGATTGTTCTATACCAAAAATATAGACCCCTATTTTTTTATTTTGAAATCAACAAATTTTTAGAGGGCGCTCAAAGCGCTCAAAGTTTTCCATGTATTTTATATGGGGGAAAAACCACTTTTCGTAGAAATGGTTTTGAATTCTTGAAAATAAATATTTTTTCTCAACCGGAAACCCCTTTTTCTATTCAGGAGATTCCCAGTAATAATACCCCATTATTTTTTTAACCATTTTTTCATAGTAACTATATTTTATAGGTCCGCCAAAACCCCTAAAAATGCTAGAAAAAGCAATGGGAGGATAAATAAAAAGTCTTTAGCATTGAAAAATGGTTAAATAGACAATTGGATATTGTCATTGGAAGTCTCCTGAAGAAAACCAGAGTTTTCCGGATCGAAAAATATTGATTTTCAAGAATTCCATACCATTTCCACGAAAAG